TTCCCACTTGGTCACACGGTGTGGAAAATGACTTTACCACTTTTAGTTAAATCTCCACTTCTCGGGTCAATGGGTATACTCTTGTTTTGTGGAAAAATCCTATTTTTATAAATTAAATCAGTTATAATTTTTTTAAAATTTAACTTTTTTTATTAAGTTTCTATTAAATTCTTTCAGAATTTTGAATACTTAAAATTTACTTTTTCGAATTGAGCTTTAACTAATTTATTTTTAACATAATAATGTAATTGTTATATTGATTTGTTACATAGTATTAAAAGAAAATAAAAATGTTTGTGTAGCGTTATTTTGTTATGTTTTTTACGAATTTTTTGTTGGTAACTATTGGTGGACGTAAAATGGCCATATATCCATATTTTATTTTCCGAAAATTTCATAAAATGCAAAGGGTCGGAGGGTGTTGCTCCCTCCACCATCGCACTTTTCTTTCTCCATCTCCCCAATTTATTTTAATTCTAATTATATTTTCAGATTAAAATTTTTTACTTTTATTATTTTAATTTATTTCAAACCTAGTTCTCCTACTTTACTTCTTGCACTCAATTTTTCCATCTCTCATTTCTGTTTAACAATTTGTCTTCCGTTTTACTCTGCAACCCCATTTGTCTTTTCCTTTTCACTTCTCCTCCTCCGTTTCTTTCTTCTTCATTTTCCTTACATTATTAAAATACATTAAAAATATATTCAAAAATAATAAATCAAAACATTTAAATTAAATTATTAAAATATTTCCAAAATAAAGAATAAACTAATAAAACAAACCCTAAAATAAAAAATGTAACCTTTAAACGGAGGTGACATCCTTCAACGGATGTCAACATCCGTTTAAGGAAAAACGGATGTCGACATCAGTTTTACCTTAAACGGATGTTGACATCCGTTGAAGGAATGTCACCTCCGTTTAAATTACGTTTTTTATTTTAGGGTTTTATTTGAAGGTTTATTCGAATACGCACCTGGAGGAAGCAACACGCGCACTGCACCACGAGAGCGACACTGCACCATGAAAGGGAGATTGCTTGATAATTCTTTCCACCACCAGCAACCTTTGCAACTTATAGTATCTCACAGCGACGAAAGAAAGAGAGGAAGAAATATAATGTTAAAATGAAAGAAAAGTATTTTACTCATGTATGGGGGACTAGAATAGGTTATTAGTGGAATATGTTGTAAATGGGTAAAATTAAAAGATAATAATCATAAAAATAAAATTTTACTTAGGGGCAAAATAGTAAATGGAAGGTGAAGGAAGAAAGGTATGGTGCTGAAGGGAGCAACACCCAGGGTTGGAAAAGGGCAATTATCTTATTGGGCTTGTGGGCTTCGTTCTCTTCGTCGTTGCACCTAGAATCTGAAATGTGTAGATAATATAATAAACAAACTAGTGAGGAAAATTGTAATGGAGGAAGGTGCAAAAGATGTTACAGAGTTGAAGGTGAAAACAGAATACCTACTGCAACTATTTTAGAATATAATTTTATTCAAAATATAAGGGAGGTTAAATGTCTTTAAAACTATAGTAAATAATAGTATTATTCTATTTAATCCATAAAAGTTACATAAAAAAATCTTCCCAAAATACTTTAGAAATATCAAAATAAATATCTAAAAGTTTTACAAGTGTCAATTACATAAAATATACTACTAAAATTAAAAAAAATGATGCTAATTTACGTATACAGAAAAAAAAAATTAGGGTAATCAATACCTTTCTATAAATCTTTTAAACTCCGCCACTGCATAAAAATAAAGAAAGTATTAACAAAACTTAACCTATATTTAACTAAAAAAATGCATATAATTTACTTTTTGTTGTGATGATTTAATTTAAAAACTGTATACAAAGTAAACCAAATTAATTCAACTAATCTAATTTATTTGATTTCTTATGTTCTTCGGTATTGGTTAAAAAACAACTAAAAAGCATGGATTGCTTAGTCATGACTTGTGGCTGCTACATACTTAATTACATCATTTTCATTCAAATTTCAACTTTTTTGTGCACCTATAAAATAACATATATAACAACGTAAAATTTTCAATTATAGTCTAATTAACTTATATCTTTGACTAATGAAAATAACATGCTCACAGTCAACGCACTTTTTTTCTTTTGTCAAAGAATAGAAAGAGTTAGCTAAACAACACGTCATTTTATTTTAAAATATGCTTTCGTGTTTGAAACCGTGAAGGAGCTTTCTTTATTGCATCTCCAATTTTCTTCCTACAATTTTAAATTTTCTTGTAAATTCTTGAATTGATCTTCTGATTATAGTAAAAAAAAAAATCTCTCTCCTTTGATCAATTCTCCCTACACCTAGAACTGCATAACACACATCCTTTCCACACCCCCCACAGTCCACTTTCAACCTTCAAACAATTTGTGTCAAGAAAATCGAATAAAATACATATTCATTTATTACATTTCTAAATTTTTAAATATTTAGTCAAAATTCCTAGTTCAACGTAAGTAATAAAGGAATTGAAGATTTAGAGTTATGTATTTAAGAATTTAGGACTATGAGTATATGGAATTTTGAAATCTAAAATTTGGGTTGCTATCAAATTTTAAAATCTCATAAACACTTTATCATGATTTCGAAATTTGGTTAAGAAATTCATTATATTTCAAAATACGATATTATTTTCAAATATGATATTATCCAATATATATATATATATATATATAAAATTTATTTTAATAGTTTGGGATTTTGTTATTTTTTTTCAATTTTATTTATTTTATGTGTTTGTATTAAAATTTAGGATTTAAAGTTTAAAGGTTAAGATTTATGATTTAGAATTTAAAAGTTGGAGTTTATATATAAAACTTATAACTAGTAGATACAAATACAATACATATAAGAAGATGAAGGAGATGAGATGAAGAAAAATGAAATAAAACGAAGGAAAATAAATTTAATGCTCTTAAAAACAAAAAAAAAAAAAAGCTGAAAAAGAGAAAAAAACGCTTTGATTCAAAAATGAATTAGGAGTGTAAGGTGGTAAAAAATATAAGTGTAGAAAACTTGAAATTAGGAGTGTTAGGAAAATAGTAATTATTGTTTACCTAATTTATTTTATATTATACATATATATTTCAAAAGACAAAATCGGAATCACAATTAAATTTAGAGTTACATGAAGAAAACTTGAAAGTGCAGAAAGAAAGCTCCAACCGTGATGAAAAAATGATATTCCGATCAAAATAATTCTCCTTTAACTTAAAAGAAATTGAAAATAATGAAAAAATAGAGTTTTATTAGAGACCCCACAACACCTTATTATTAAAAAAATAGTCAGTTTAATTTTCTTTTTGTTTGAATATTTTCCCTGTGTGAATTGGACATTTGCTTTTTTAATTTCAATGAAATAATTTAAGCTTTTTTTTTTATTTTTCATAATTTTTGGGATTGTATACTCTTCATTATTATAGTATATTTGTTAAAATGCCCAGATGAGAAAAAAATATTACATTATTACACCACATTTATATAAGCATATGCATTATTGGTAAAATTATTCTGTAAGTTAAAATACTTTATAGCATCCTATAAGGTGCCACCAAATTTCATAATCAAAGGTGCACATCCTTTCAGGTGCCACCACGTTTCATATTCAAGGACCTCCATTCCTTCATCTTACTTTTCTTGTTCTTTCAAGGATATTAGTATCAGATCCTTTTTGCATCACTCAATTATTCCTAATTCATATTTTTTTTAGTGTTTTGTCAGCAGGTTCTTTGAAATTAGCCTATATCTCAATATTGTTCGAATATTATCATGTGTTGTTGTAATATAAAATAAGGAAACGATGGTAAATCTTTAAATTTTTTCACATAAAATATTAATATTCAAATTTATATAAGTTTTAAGTTGGTTCTATTACTATGTTAAGAGGTAAATTTTAAACCTAACTCAATCTTAAAAACTGACTTATAAAATGATATCTATATCTACTTATATATTATTCTAATAGATGCGAAACTTCCAACCATAATAGTAATAATATCATATAAATGATATAAATCTAAGGTAAGTTTTAAAGTTTAAAATTTTATCTTAGATCGAAATAATATAAGCCTATTGAATATATAATGAGATATATTATTGATGAGACTTTAAATGTGAACAATATTACAATGGATAATATATTTTTACAATATTTTTTGATAACATTTTAATATCATCTACATGCTATTATGTGATTATTCCAAAATTACTTTACAATCAATAATAATAATCATAAACATTAACAAATACCAATAACAGAATGACACGTAAATGATGTTAAAATATTGTAAAAATATGTTGTTAAAGTATCATTATTTTATTATAGGTGTGCATATACATCAAACCATTGAAATGGGAAAGGTTGAATGGGTTGACCAAACAAGGGTCTTTCACAGCGTATTTTTTAATACGATGTTTCTTATTCTTGGGGCCGATTACTTTGACATAACATCTACCCAACAATATTCACCAAACAGCTTTCCCAGTATTTTACGTTTCTCAAATGAATATTTAATAACACATAAATAATTTCTGTGAAATTAATAAATTTAAATAATATTAACCGGCATGAAATGGATTAAAAATTTATGTGATTTTGCATGAATATGATATTTTGGGTGATAGAGAGAAAAGAAGCAGACACATGCCTCTGCCGACGACTCCTGTGCCCTCTTTTGCTTGCAATAAATAAGTGCCACACATGCAAAAACCTTTTTCCTTTCTTCATCACAATCTCTCATTCCACCAAATTGCTCAAACCAATAATGCAAACCAAATCCCCAAAAATAAAATCCAACCACCAACGATCAAATTTGTTACTTAAAATTCAAATTAATTTATAAAGGGTTAAACTTTTTAACAACTTTCTTGTTAGTATTTGTGAAATTCTTTTATTATGATATATAATGTGATTGTAATTTTATGATTTTTTAAATAAAATTGAAGGAGCACACACAGAATACAGCAAAAAGTGTGCAAGAGTGCTATCACTTCTCAAATGTAAATGTACAGTATCCCCACTCATAATCACGTCTTTTTTCTCTCTTCATCCGTCGCCATCAACTGCGACTTTCGGTCACTTGCGCCTCTTTTTCTCTTCGTTCTTGCATAAATATTATATATAAATATATATATCAGAGCCTTTTCTTTTCGGTTATGAATCAAATTGCTGCTACCAAGGAGCCAGAGGAGGCTTCCGAGAAGACGAATGAAGCAGTGAGTTACGAAGAAGAGGACCCAATGGAGCAGGAATCGGTCATCCCTGCTACTGTCTTCTGCATTAGGCTCCGCCAACCTAAGTCCAATTTGCTCTACAAAATGAGTGTGCCTGAAATTTGTCGCAATTTCAGGTATCTCTGCACTGCAGTGCTTCAAGATTCGTTTCATGGATTGAATTTTACTGTCGGTGTTGGGTTTGAATAGTAATTAGCAAACTGACTTTCTTTATATCGGATATAGCTAGCTTTAGTGTTTTATGTCATTGAACTTGGATAATCGAATCTATAGGAGTAAGATGTTGCTGTGTTTTAAAGTTTGTCTTATTTGGTACATGTGTTGGCTTCAAGAATTGGCTCTGTGGACTAAAGAAGTGGGAAGTAGATTAAACTGAAGATGATGGTGTGAGGATGTTGTCGACGGAAATTCTTGATTCTTGTATTGATTTTAGGAGTCTCCGGGGGGCATGCTTTCGTGTTTATTAAATAATTGCATAGTGTTGTTTAAATGAAAGGGAAACGGAAGAATAAAATATTGCTCTGTATAATTTGGAAAACAATTACGAAGGAGAAAAAAGTGCCTGCGTGTAATTGGAAACATAATAGCTTGAAGAATTAAGAAAAATAAATGCTTGATGGAAGTCATGCCAAACAGTTGATCTGCAGTTTCCGTTGAATAAGTTTCATAATATTTAGTATTTTTCTTCTGAAAAGTTCTGGATTCGGTGCTTATATGAGGGGAGAATATCAAGAAAATTAGTGCAGTGGTGTCAAAGGAATTGATGATGTGCTGCTTAAAACTCTTAAATGGTGTTTGAGATTACACCTGGGTCTTGCTCAGATGGTGTACCGTGATGATGATGATGGAGCAGAGGGGTGATCTACCAGCAAAGGTATTTGTGCCGTCATGTCTGTCAAGGCACGATAAGATGTAAAGTATTGGGGGTGAACTATGCGCAGCCAAGGTCTTTAAATAACTGTTAGTAACCTCATTCGTAGATGCAGAGTCAGGGTTTTTTTGGGGTATTGTGATTGCATCAACCTCATTTGTCTACATTTTTCTACGATATATATGATGACAATGATGCAATGGAACCATAATCCTGATTGTTATTACATTTTAAAACCTACAGTGTAATTGATAATGGAGGGTCCCCTTTGTATAATATGGTAATTGAGGGGTTGAGTTAAACCGTAAGTCCAAATTCTAAAACTAGCTAAGAGTAGGAGATTAGACTACTCTGTTTTCTGATTTATGCCATGTAGATAATCTGTACGGCATTTGGATACCAGATCCTACCTCGAGGTATCCAGTATCAAGGGGTATTTATGCCAAAGATTCCTGTGCCCCAGCTGTACAATAGTTGTGTACCGACAGTGGGATTGACCAATTCGTCTAGTCATGACTAGTTTCTGGAATGGGGCTAGAACATATGGTATTGTGGGAGGATAGGAACCGGAATTAAATTTCGTTGTTGTTGGCAAGCTACTTAATAGTAAGAAGCGGCTGGTGAAGAGTAGGATCCAATGAGAGTACACCACGGGTGTTCTAATAGTATAGGAAAGAAGAAAGTTAATTAGTGAGTTTCAATAGTCAGTGAAATTGTGCTTGATTTAAATTAGAGTTCTAATTTGTTATTGTTCTGGTATATTTCATAAAGTACCCTTCTTTCGAGTGGTGTTTGGGGGCTTTCCTTGACTATAAGCTTTGGAAACTTCAAAGTTCATTTATTTATTCAAATAAGAAAATTTATTAAAGCTCTTAGCATAAACAGGAAGCATTAATACATAATAGTGCTTTTATCTCTCTGCATGTCAATGAAAGATATTTGTTGAAAAGAATGTCTCAAAAGATCATTTACTTCTATAAAGCTGCATAAATAGTTTTGTCCCATAACATATGTACAGGAAAGCAATGTCATAGAAGTACAGACATTTCACCACAACCAAATACACCAGAGAATAGCATAAAAGACAAACAGCCACAAAGTTCTATCTTCCTTATTCTTGCTGAATCCATGGATAAGTATCATTTGAAACTTCTTCAAATTGGCACACAATAGTCCAGAAATATGTACCCATTGTCAAACCAACCATAGAGAGACACTGCAGAACTCATTTACAGTGATATACACACATTGATGCGTGGTCACCAAACAGAGAATTGGACCAGAAAATTTTGTTGGCTACCAAATAGGCTTGTCAAGAAGGAGGCCTCCTTCTTAGAAATAGTAAAACTGTGAATAGGATTTGTTCTGGTTCAAAGTTAGGATGACTTTAAGTCAGAGAGTTCAAGTGTCTTTGGTTTTGGACTGTTCTCCTATTTATAGCAAAATTGATTGTAGATTACAACAACTAATTCTGTTAAAAAGTACTGAAAAATTTACTTGATCGATTTTTATCCATAAATGTTTGGTTTAATTAACAACAGATTTGTCGATTTAACACCTACAGTATTACAGGAAACATAAAACTTTCGAGATTATAGGGAATATGTTCTTCAGTTATTTGTTACCATAAAGTTGGAACTCCGTTTCATTCTCTATTACTTGATTGTGATTGGATAATTTCCCATTTGATCCCTAAATCTCCGAACTCGGTATATGAGCATTGTCCTATTATGATAGTACACACCCCTGAGGCTTGAGCCGATTTAGGCGCAAATGCTTAGGCAATTATAGAAGCTCATCCATATCTTGACGGTACAGGAATTATAACAGTGCATACCATGAGTGTTAGAAGTCCAAAATATTGTATTTTGATAGGATGGCAGGCAAACGGAATCATGTAAGTCTGAAAGGGGTTATAAATAAGTCATGTCTGAAGGACTCCCATTTCGTTTGACCACTTTAGTGAAAATGTCCTTCTATGTCTTTGGGATTTTGTTCATCTCATGGATACCTTTCTAGTCTGGGATACTTATTTGGATAATACTGGCTCAGTTAATTATTTTCCTTTTAAGGAAATCATAATTTTAATGTCTGGGGCAGATAATCACGAAACAATATAAAATTTAAAGTATAGCTTTTCTTGAAAATGTGGATTGAGAAAATTTCGGATTTTATCTTGGGCTAGAATTTTTTAAAGAAATATTATTCTTTCATATTTGTTTGATTGCTCCAAATTATCATAGGAAGATATTTATGGAGATTGTAGTATCGGTCAAGTCATAACCTTTCTATGTTGCTTGGAAATCAACATAGTAAACATCTTGTCTTTGATACCTACAATGTTTTCATTTCAATAGTAGTACATGAGGGCACTGCATCAGTCCATGCTTATACTTTTGCTATCATTTTATGTCGGAGTTTTATTTTAGTATTTTTTTATTGTCTGAAATAAGCTGTTTCATTTATCTCCATATCAATATAAGCTTGAAAATCTTCATCTCTCCCTTAATAATATAATTATATGAGCCTCTTTGGGAACTTGAAAATATGTAGATGGCCAACTTCCTTCATAATGGGGATGCTGGTTTACCAGTGCTCAGTAGTAATAATTATGACTGGGTACGCGCTAATTACCTCACAAGTCACAACAATTTCTAAGTTAATACGGGCTGACCTTTCATGGTCAGTAGCTTACGAATCTGTTGTAATTAAATCGAGATCATGTATTTGATTTTCTGAGCATTTTAATAAAGTCAATTTGTTTTGCTATTGTTTTGGCTTGTGCTATTCTAATTCTGGTGCTGTCCCTTTTTAAAAGAACTTCTTGATTTTCTTTCTAGTGCTGTTTCCTGGTGTGGAAAACTGAATGCTATAGCTTGTGCTTCAGAAACATGTGCAAGAATTCCAAGGTTAGTTTTATCCATTGATCATATTTCCAGGCTGAAAATATTTCATTATGTGCTAAATAAACATTTTGGATCCTTTGCATTTTAGAATTTACAGATAAATTCAAGACAATTTGATTAATGTTTTGAAATTCAAACTTCCACCATTGCTTTTATTCTATTGTTGTACTTGGGCCAGAAGAAGCACTAGGAAAAGATATTATTGACAATATTTTTTTTTTGTATATTTACCTATGTGCCTGTCTCTTAGAACTTATGTTTTTGATGGATTTACATAATACTTTTCTTGCTCTTACACACTTTACTCATTTATTGGCAAACGACTTTGTAAATCAACTTTAAGTTTTGTCTTGCTTTTGTTTCTACATTTTAGAAACATTTAGAGGGTTCATAAAAAAAAGTGTTAAGAGAACGGCTGCAACCAGACCTTCTTCTAAATATGAGTATATATTATGTGCATTTTATCCACATATTCATTTGTTAAGAAGACCCACAAGCAAATTTGAATGGATAGTGCTCTTGGCAAAATAAAGTGTTTAGAGAACCGCTGCAACCAGACCTTCTGATAAATATCAGCATATATATCATGTGCATTTTATACACATATTCATTTGTTAAGCAGACTCACAAGCAAATTTGAATGGATAGTGCTCTTGCTAAAAAAAGTGTTAAGAGAACGGCTGCAACCAGCCCTTCTGACAAATATCAGCATGTATATTATGTGCATTCTATACACATTCATTTGTTAAGCAGACCCACAAGCAAATTTGAATGGATAGTGCTCTTGGCAAATAAACTTATTCACATACTAAATAAGCTTTGAATAATGATGTCTAATGTTTATATCTTTTAATTATTATGCTTCTAATATTTGTTCGAGTATTAAATTTAAATACCTGAACAGTCACATTATGTCTAATACTGCTTATTTACTAGTATTCAGTAGTTAGTTTGGCTTGCTAGCACCCTTGTATGTTTGCTTTTGCTGGCAATTGTGTAATGGTTATTATGAGTGTTTCTTTTCTCCAAAGCTCAACTGGAAATTCACCATTTTGGATTCCTATACACATTGTGATCCCAGAGAGGCCGACTGAATGTGCAGTATTCAATGTCATTGCAGGTATGTTAATGTTAATCAACCTTATAGATTCATGGATGTACAGTTTACTGTTCTATTTGTGTTGTTAGATTTTATGGGCAAGAATTTCAAAATTGACTAACTTCAGTAAAATTAGGTGTTGTTCTTTTCAATTTCATTGTGATATTATTGCAGTAAAATGGATTTAAAAAACCTTCAGTATTCTTGATTTTGCGGATACTGATATTAGTATACTATCAACACCAGTGGGTGGATAATGAAAGGTAAATACTGAAAAAAAAAAACAGAAACAGATGAAGCAGGTTATGTGAGAAACCCTGCCCTCTCCTTTGATTTCTTCCTAGCCTTCTGTTTACTGATATCCCAATCCCCTTGTTTGCATTATTGGCATTCTGTCACATCAAATTTTCCTGCCTGAGATTTCAATATCGCTTGATTGTCTTTTTTAAATCTGATATATTCAAAGGCCCATATCTTCAGTGCCCCTTGCTAATGTAACCCTCCGTGATTGGTGGTTTCCTATCACATTTCCAGTATAATGTTTCTACTAAATCCATGAGGCTGTTCAACCATGTAATCCAGTATAAGCTAATTACGAATTTGGTAATATAAAATTCAGGTATAATGCAGGAAGGTGAAAGAAAAGACAATCTTTTAATTTTCGGAACTTTTGGTTTTGAAAATTAAAAGATTTATCTGGGTGGCCTTTAACCCTCAGATTTATGATGTTATTGAAATATCTGTCCTCTCTATATGGTGGTGTTTTGCAATCAGTGGGGCAATATCAATTTCAACAGAAAAGTCTGAAGGATTTTCATGATGGCAATATTTTAAAAATTGTCATCACTATCATTATTATTATTATTGTAATCATTTTACATCATTATTATTGTAATCACTTTACACAGAATATTGTTTTGTAAGTTGCATTTCATTTGTAACGAAAAAGTAGTCAAATTGAATCTAAATAATAAAATTTAGAAAATGTAGGAAATTGAAGTCCTCTGTAACAGTAGACAGATCATTTGTAAATTTCTGGAAGGCATGTTTGTAACACGGGAAATAACATTTTGATGTTTTTTCTCGTCTTTGTTTTATTTTTCTGGCTTTTTGTTCCTGAACTGAGTTGGTTTACTATATATGTAGGAGTGTGTGTGTATTCATAAGTTTCAAAATTTGACCAGTTGAACTGTATGCCTTTGCAGATTCTCCTCGTGATTCTGTCCAGTTCATCGAATGGTCCCCAACCTCTTGTCCACGTGCATTGCTGATTGCAAATTTCCATGGGAGGGTAACTATTTGGACTCAACCATCACAAGTAAGTGAGAGTTATAGCATATCATAGTTGTGCAGTATAATTGGAAGTGCTCTGCCATAGATTTTTACGTTGCCATAAATTTATATATGAACATTGTTGTTTGTCTAAGAAAACATGTTAATAAACTTACCCAAAACTCTATAGCTTTTTGTATAACTGAGATGGTTTTTCTAGATCACAGAATGGGAAGTATGGCTATATTCTATACCCTAGTTCCACAGGGAGGTTATGTACGTGGCCCTTGTGTATTCCTGTGGATTGATCTTTTGTCCAAACTTTAACCATCTCTGGCTTCTCCGCTATTCATATATGGTTTTCTTATTTATCTGTTACGGATTTCATGTCCATTCAGGGGCCAGCTAATCATGTACTCGATACTGGCTGCTGGCTGCGAGAGCATGAATGGCGACAAGACATTGCAGTTGTTACAAAGTGGCTCTCGGGAGTGTCCCTGGTATGCCAGATAATTTCTCTTCCGTGTGATGTTTAAAATTTTAGCACATCATTTTTGAGGAATTGTTATAATAGTTTTATTTGTCCAATTTTGCCCTTAAATAATCTTCTCTAGAAACCCCTTTAAAAACATACTCTATTTTTTAACATTTGTCTCTAAAAAATTTGTAGAGAAGGTGATTTTTTTCTAGAGAAAAAACTTAGTTTAGAGGGACAATTTTTAAGCTAAATGAGTAATTCATTTTCTGCCTCAAAAATCCCACAATAAGCAGGAACTTTTAATAGTTACCAAAATATGAACAAAAGAAAGGTTTTCTAAGGTTAGTGAAAAATCATAATTCTCCTTTAATCACAATGTCTTTGCATTTTCTGAGTTACAACTTATATTGTAGCATGCTTGCGTGCACTCACATGGACCTTGTGTAATTCAATCTAGTAAGTCTGTTTCTTTTTAATCCAAATTAATTGTTTGTTTTAAAAAATCAGTATAGGTGGTTTTCATCTAAACAAAGTGCTCCTGCCAATTCAAGGTCAACATTTGAAGAAAAGTTTCTTTCACAACAATGTCAAACGTCAGGTCAGTTTTATTTGAATTTGCTATTATGATTTGTTTTTTCCAGTAAAATTGTTCGCAGTAAGATAAAAAGAAATACTACTGTTGGCATTGTTTTGTTTCAGTTGTTGTAATATTTGTTTATTCTTTTGTTTTTTTCACTGATGTATCTAGAAAGGCACAAGCTAAAATTGTATCTTCCATGATGCAATTTTGCAAGATACTTTTCTTGCCGATTAGATTGTGGAAGAGGGGGAACTTGTGTGTTGTATGTCGGGATTAGGGTCTGAGTGTCATATGGATACTCTGTCACTTAGTTGATCATAGCGAATGATTCTATTTCACTGGAGGTCACAGGCCTATTAATTTCTCTTCTAATTAATTTCCAATTGGTTGTAACAATTTTCCGTTTTGTGTTCTGATTTAGTCAATATAAAGTATCTTCATAAAGACAAGTGATTTGAAGTGAAGTACCGTACATCATCTTCATTCCACTAATGATTCAGTCTCTCTTTTAGTTATAATACTTAATCATCTTAGTGACTGCCTGATGCTTTTCAAGCTCAGATTCCTCAAGAGAACTATGCTTATCAGACACCATGTCAAGATGACATTTGTAATAACAGGGAGAAACTGGCCAGATTTGAGTCCATGCATGTGTAATGTCCTGTATCTGTGCATGTTAGTCTTACACTAACAAAATTATATCAACCTAATTTGTATGTTGACAGTGGTAATGGTGACAGTCATGGCAATGCCTGAAATTAGAACTGTATCTCTCTTTAGTTGGTTGCTTCTTTCAGTTTTTTAATAATTTGTTTTACATGTTCATTTGTTTTTTCTAATTACAGTCCAATATGTATATAATAGTAACTGGCTGATGCATATGAAGCCCTCATTCCTCAACAGAACTATGCTGTTTTAGATACTATGTCATGATGATATTTGTAAGAACAGGGAGACACTTGCCAGATTTGAGTCCATATGTGTACCATGTCCTGTATCTGTGCATGTTTGTGTTATACTAACACAATTACACCGACATAATTTGTGTGTTGACAGAGGTAGTGTTGACAACCATGGCAATACCTGAAATTAAAACTGTTTATTCTCTCTTTATTTGATGCGTATTTTAGATTTTTAATAATTCATTTTACATGTTAATTTTTTTTCTAATTACAGTGCAATATGGATATTAAAATTACTGTTTTCTATTCTGTCTGACACATGGAGTTGTCTTTTCAGCTAGATGGCCCAATTTTCTTTGTGTATGTTCTGTGTTCTCATCAGGCACTGTTCAACTTCATTGGTCCCAGTGGCCTTCTTCGAATGCAACACCACCCAAATGGTTTTGCACTAGTAAAGGACCATTGGGTTGTGGCCCCAGTGGCATTATGGCTGGTGATGCTATCATTACAGAGAGTGGTGCCATGCATGTGGCAGGTGTGCCAATTGTTAATCCATCCACCATTGTTGTTTGGGAGGTTATGCCTGGGCCTGGTAGTGGTTTCCAAGTAATTCCAAGAACAAGTACCAATAACGGAGTCCCACCTCCAATTAGCTCGCCCAATTGGATTGGTTTTGCACCTTTAGCGGCATATTTATTTAGTTGGCAAGATTATCTATTATCTGAAGAAAAACAAGGGAAAATCCAGACAAACCAAAACCATGGTGGTTCTATACAACTTCACTGTTCACCAGTTTCAAATTTTTCGGCATATGTGAGTCCTGAAGCTGCAGCTCAATCTGCAGCAACCACTACATGGGGCTCTGGTGTAACAGCAGTAGCCTTTGATCCAACTTGTGGTGGTTCTGTGATAGCTGTTGTGATAGCTGAGGGTACGGAACTGATTCTTGATCTTTCTTTCGCACTTCATATTTGTTATGCACTATGAGATACCATCAGCTTTCGCACCCACAGTAAAATACTGGAAGGACCTGTATATTTTATCTATCTTTACATCTCTAGAGTTTGTGACAATGCTACATGTGATTTTTCATTTGGCAGAATTTATGCCATAGTGTCTTGTGCATTGACCATTGAGCTTGGAAATTGATCTTTTATTTATCAGTGTAATATTTTACATTTATAGGACAGTACATGTCCCCTTATGATCCAGATGAAGGTCCATCAATCACAGGGTGGAGAGTTCAACGCTGGGAATCATCTTTACAGCATGTTGTACTCCATCCTATATTTGGGAATCCCACTTCCAGTATGGGTGGACAGCCTCCTATGCAAACTGTTTGGCAGACCAAAGTGGACCTGAGCATTCCACCGACAAATGATTTCAAGAATCATCAAGCTTCTGCAGGTGGAATGAACACAGATGCACAAAAGGTAGCAGAGTTTGGTTTTGATAAATCAAAAAGAGTCTATTTCGATCCTTTTGATCTTCCAAGTGATGTTAGGACACTTGCACGAATTGTATACTCTGCTCACGGTGGTGAAATTGGCATTGCTTTTCTTCGGGGTGGAGTCCACATCTTTTCTGGTCCAAATTTTACTCCAATAGACAACTATCAGATTGGTGTCGGATCTGCAATTGCAGCTCCTGCTTTTTCTTCAACAAGCTGTTGTTCTGCTTCTGTTTGGCATGACACAAGCAAGGATCAGACGATTTTGAAAATAATCCGGGTTCTCCCTCCTGCTATTCCAATTAGTCAAGTAAAGACCAACTCGTCATACTGGGAGCGTGCAATTGCTGAAAGGTGATTTCTTAAAGCCCTTCTAAGTGTAAGGCTTTCTCAATTTTTACATAAACATAGTGGAGGTTGTGATTGATATCCCTTTTCAATGGTTTATTTTGTTGCTAACTGGAATCTGTTGGGAAAAGCAGGTTTTGGTGGAGCCTTTTGGTTGGAGTTGATTGGTGGGATGCTGTGGGCTGTACACAGAGTGCTGCTGAGGATGGTATTGGTAAGGAGGAGCAAATTATTTAGTCCTGTTGAAGCTAGTGGCAGGAAAATCCTAGAGAAGGAATAATACAATTTGCTTTATTTCATATTAGCAGTCTATTATGAAGCATCTTCACAATGTACCATTGATATGCTATACTAATGAGTTTTTGTGTTTTTTCTTTTTCTGTTTCAGTTTCACTTAACAGTGTTATCGCAGTCTTGGATGCAGATTTCCATTCTCTTCCTTCTGCTCAGCATAGACAACAGTATTGTCCTGTATATTTCTGTGAACTATCACCATTAACTTTCTTAGTTCTCTTCATTTGTTTTTTTGTTTTGGGGATGGAAATCTTCTTTATTGTTATATCTAGGTTGTGTTATTAATTTTCTGTTATTCCATAGTGTTTTAGGGATATAATATTACCTGGATAATGGACCTTGCAGTAGATATTTGTTAGTAGCAAGTTTATCCCTATCTTACAAGACATAGGCACAACTTATAGTATTTGTTCTAATTGAAGAACTTGTAGATAATAAAGTTGTTAATTATGTTGCATTGCTCATAACACAGTTCATTTGAGGCTATTTTTATCTTATAATACTTTAAAGATTGGCTTCCTTATGGGANGCTATACTAATGAGTTTTTGTGTTTTTTCTTTTTCTGTTTCAGTTTCACTTAACAGTGTTATCGCAGTCTTGGATGCAGATTTCCATTCTCTTCCTTCTGCTCAGCATAGACAACAGTATTGTCCTGTATATTTCTGTGAACTATCACCATTAACTTTCTTAGTTCTCTTCATTTGTTTTTTTGTTTTGGGGATGGAAATCTTCTTTATTGTTATATCTAGGTTGTGTTATTAATTTTCTGTTATTCCATAGTGTTTTAGGGATATAATATTACCTGGATAATGGACCTTGCAGTAGATATTTGTTAGTAGCAAGTTTATCCCTATCTTACAAGACATAGGCACAACTTATAGTATTTGTTCTAATTGAAGAACTTGTAGATAATAAAGTTGTTAATTATGTTGCATTGCTCATAACACAGTTCATTTGAGGCTATTTTTATCTTATAATACTTTAAAGATTGGCTTCCTTATGGGACTTTCTGCTAACTCAACGTCAGGTTCATTTTCACCTGATGAGATACTGTCATCCATATTGGTTTACCATCCTTGTTTTACTGTGTTTCCAACTGGCATATAGATGTCTCTCCCCTGGGGGTTCTTAATGATATAAAATTGTTCCTTTTTAATTACTTTTAGCGATTGGATTGCTTCAATTTATTCTAGTGTAGTCTGAATTTGATTTTTAAAACGTTTGAGTTCCTTCTGAGATCCACTTGAACTAAACTTTCTCTATCCCCGTTCTGTGTCTTTCAGATGGGACATGTGTTATTATAATTTAACCTACAGTTTCTCCTGTTTTTGTAGTGTTTTGGCATGTGGAAATGACATTGTTGCTACTTTTGGGCTAAAAATAATGTGGATTTCTATTATTGCAGAATCTAGACAGAATAAAGTGTAGGCTGCTTGAAGGGGCAAATGCTCAAGAGGTCAGGGCAATGGTTCTGGATATGCAAGCTAGGTTGTTATTGGATATGCTTGGGAAGGGAATTGAGTCTGCTTTGATAAATCCATCAGCTTTAGTGCCCGATCCATGGCAATTATCAAGTGAGACATTATCTAGCATTGACCCAGAAGCAGTGGCCGTTGAACCTGCACTAGTTCCATGTGTTCAGGTTTGTTTGGTTAACTGTTGTAAATCATGTTCTTCATATTTTGTTTAATGAGAAAATTAAGTCACAACTTTCTGTTGTAGCAATGATATACTGCTGCATGGTTCAGTCTGCATACTCTGTTCTTTTAGGACTTAGCATACATTTTATTTATATTCACTAGTGTAAAAGAACTGAAATTTTTTCACGTAATTAACTGTTCCTACCAACCTATCAAACATGTAATAGTATTAAACCCTTTGTTTCTCTCTCTTTTTCCCATAGGTGACATTTCTTTAATTTGCTTAACATTGCATATACATCTCATGATTGTTTCAATATTACGCAGGCTTATGTTGATTCAGTTCTTGATCTAGCTTCACACTTTATCACACGGTTGCGGCGTTATGCTAGTTTCTGTCGTACACTGGCAAGCCATGCTGTGACTGCAGGGACTGGAAACAACAGAAATGTGGTCGCTAGTCCTACTCAAAGTTCTGCAACTCCTGCAACGAGTCAGGGTAAGTGTGCAATGATATGAAATTGTATTCATTGTTTGAGTAGTTTCTTTTATATTAAATTTTATTTCATATAGACCATTTCTAAAGTCTTGTCTTTCGGGAGCTAATACTGAAGCATAGATTTGGTGGTCTTTGTTTTTTGTTGTCTCAAAAACTGAGTTGGTCCTTCCTTGAATACCTTTGTTTGTCTTTAATCATCAATACCTTTATTCTTTATATTACACGTTGATAGTTACATTTTTTTCCTTTCAGTTTTTAATAGTTTTCTAGAACTTTGAGAAGATTAAAATCAGATTTGATTGAGCTTTGATTTTCTCTCTAAATCAATGAATAAGAAAAGCATTCTCCTCTAAACTACATTTCAATATTAAGTACCAACTAAAGCAAAAACATCGATGTCCAGGGGGTCAAAATTGGACAACCAGTTCTAGTGGAAGCACACAGATGCAAGCTTGGGTACAAGGGGCCATTGCCAAGATTAGTAGCACAACTGAAGGAGTATCCAACCCAGCTCCTAATCCCCCTATCAGTGGTTCTTCTTCCTTTATGCCCATTAGCATTAATACAGGAACTTTTCCGGGAACACCTGCGGTTCGACTCATTGGGGACTGTCATTTCCTCCATAGATTATGCCAACTGTTGCTCTTCTGTTTTTTCTTTCGACGGACACAACTATCACGGTATGTACAGAGAACTACAGACACAAATACACAAAAGCCTCAACCCAATGGTTCTGCTCCTGCAAAGGTAGAGGAACCTGTAAAACCAGGGTCAACGTTGGTTAGGCCAGATGATGGTCAGGCTGGTCGAGTTAATCAGCTTGTGACTGCACCAAAAGGAGGTGAAGAACCGTCTCCAGGGCGTTCAAGAATTGGTACTGGAAATGCTGGCCAGGGATATACATTTGAAGAGGTATAACTTCATTTATGTGATGTCTGAAAGCTCTCGTTTCAGTGATTTATGACTGAATCTGAGATAAATGCGTTTCAAAAGTCATCATAATTCTCTCTTGAACTTACAGAGACTAACTATTTCATTTAACTTATGGCTTAATACACTGGTAATTCAGGTCAAGGTTCTTTTTCTAGTACTTATGGATCTCTGTCGCCGAACTGCTGGCTTGCAACACCCACTTCCAGTTTCTCAAGTGGGGAGTAATAACATTCAGGTTCGGCTGCATTATATTGATGGAAACTACACTGTACTGCCCGAGGTAGTGGAAGCATCCCTTGGCCCCCATATGCAGGTTACTTTCTATTTTCCCAGTTCAAAGTCAGTATTTTTGGGATTTATAATTAGCATTTTCAAGATGATACATTAATTACCTCAAGTTTATGATGCCATTTAATAGTGATGTAATAGTGATAGACATTAGTAAAGTAGAACAACAAAGGGCTCTGTTGGTTTTCTTTAGTAGTAATGCTTTTTATAGAAGATATTGTTTATGATTTCGTGATGGAGCACCCTGTGAGAATACATAGGAAAATCTACTGATTAAATGATGTCCTTTTGATAGAAATACATATTTTTGTTCTTTTTGGATGCCTTAAAATGAGTTTCTTTACTTGGATTTGATGACTGACTTTCCTGTGAATGACACCTACCCTCAAAAACTAAAGAAAATGTGTCTTTGCAGAACATGCCCCGTCCTAGAGGTGCTGATGCTGCCGGTCTTCTACTACGTGAGCTAGAACTCCATCCTCCAGCCGAAGAGTGGCATAGGCGGAATATGTTTGGTGGACCTTGGTCTGATTCAGATGATTTGGATTCTACAAATGAAGCACCAAAGCTTGTTAATCTTGATTTCAGCTCATTGGAAACTTGTGATGTCTACGATGGAGCCGATGGCTTATTGCCAAGGAAACGCAGGATGTCTGAACGAGATGCAGCTTTTGGGTTGAACACTTCCGTTGGCCTGGGAGCATACCTGGGTATAATGGGATCTCGAAGAGATGTTGTTACTGCATTGTGGAAAACTGGCCTTGAAGGAATCTGGTATAAGGTATGAAAACAAACTTTCGTTAGGCATTTTGTGTTGTTTTCTGTCCATGTGTGCACATAAAGTTTTATAAACAATTAAATGCTCGTATTGAGTACAGTTCAAGCGTTTTTCTTTTTAATATTTAATGGTGTCAATGCCCGGTTTTCTCTTGATGGATGTAAGAAAAATTGCTAATCGTCAATCATGTAAATGTCAAGTGATTGAAAATTTTGGAGATCTTAGATTTGTTATTTGGATAACATGGACCAAATTTGCAAACAGAGCCATTCTTCCAATGCTGCATATAAATTAGTAAAAGACACTTTATTTATCTTGCCGTCTCCGAACTAATTTCATTATCCGCTTGCATGCAGGTACTATTTAATTTTCTCATCTCTTTTTTACTTCTGTTTGGTACAGTGTATAAGATGTCTGCGGCAGACTTGTGCTTTTTCCTCACCAGCCTCCACCAATCTTCCTAGTCAAAATGACAAGGATATTTGGTGGATCAGCCGCTGGGCTCATGGCTGTCCAATGTGTGGTGGAACATGGGTTCGTGTTGTATAGCTGGTTTCAAGACAAAATTGTTACGTGAGTTTCTCTAGGTCAGGGAAGAATTGCTCGTATTTGTTGCTAACTGCAGAAACTGGAGGTAGATGAAACACTGGAAGAAATTGTACAGGAGAGGAGACATGTAGATTACCTGACAGGTTCTTTATCATTTTATTATCATTACAGGTAGGTGACCGAACAAACTTGGATTCGGGTAAATATTCTACTAATCACTTTGTAAAGTTCCATGAATTATCAAGTAATTCACCTATACCTCAATTTGTTTTGGAATTATGGTCATGTGATTTGCCACACCTTCAAAATTAGGTATTATCCTCGTAATGCCCGTAGTTGTTGTTGCTCCTTCCAGAGATAATGTTTCAGGATTAACTCTTAAAATTGACTTGAGTGCTCATGTCGTGCACGGCATATAGTAATATCATGCAATGCATATTGATATTCCATTTACTCATTACAGTCAGTTGGATAGTCATCTGGTCATAATTTTTTTCCTTTCACTGTACTCGTTTTCCTTTCGTCCATATTTGGATTTAACTTTTTTCCAGGTTATTGAATTATTTTAGATAGTTTCTTGAGTGAGTTTTTAAGAATATTTCTCCAAAATACTGTTATCAAACTTGCATAAATATTCTGTTTTTTTTTTTTTAATTATTCAGCTGACAATGCAGAATGTGATCTTTCTCGTAACCCTGGGGAATAAATTTCTTGCATGCAGATGCTAGTCTTTTCAGATAAGAGGTTGGTGATGGTGGACAAGTAATTAGGAATGTCCCTGACTAATCCCAGAGAAACTTCTGCATGACTTTCCACATCAGTATTATTGACTGCTCGTATTTATATGTGCATAAGGGGAGCAGGAGGTGGTAAGTGGAGTGGGTACTGTACAGCATTAAATAATCAACTATATATGTAAATTGATGAAATAATTTATTTAATTTGGGCGGGTGGGGGCAACGTCATATAGGGTTATATTTATGGCAGTTATAGATCAATTTTATGTACTGTTTTATGGTTTGTATTTGGGGTCATTCACTGTCTTAGTTGATAATGGTATCCACCATATATATTTTACAAATTAATAACTTTCAAAAGCAGAACGATTATGTTGACTTCTGTATTTGGTTTTAGACACGCTTGCATTACATACGTATTAAAATTTGGACCAAATCTACACTTTAATCTGGAACCGGTCTAACAATTGGTCTGTTAACTTTGGGAATATGTGAAAATTGATAGAGAGATCAAAGCTGTTTGAAAATTGGTCTGACCTGGTATTTTTTTCTAATCCTTTTTATTTAATCCGAAACATTTTTAAGATGAAGGTCTTAAAGATTTCCCACAAATATATATTATTTTCTAATTACTATTAATTTTCATCTCAGAAAAAATAATTTAATCATTTATATTTATAAGTTTTGAGATTCTGTTTCTCTTCATTTTAGCTTGTTATTCAAAATATTCTATAATATTAAAAATGTAAATTTAATTTCATTAGTTTGGTCACAGTTATCCAAACGATTAGACTATTGAGCCTTAAATTATCTTTCTATGCTTTTGAATTATTTGTTCAACTTTGAAAACATGAATTAAAGTAGTATATAATTAATAGCATGGAGGAAGAAATACTTAATTACAATACTCACAATAATATTTATATGGTGAGCATTAAAAAAAGATATAGTTAAATAGTTAAACATTCAATAGTTTTGTTATTGTAAATGTGCTTAACTTCAAGTATGAAACTTATAAACATATTCAACCCAATTCTAACTAGACCTATAAAACAATGCTCAGTTTAATATACTTACTCGGTCCAACCTACAAAATGTAATGGTTAAAAACCTAATTTTGGTAAATTACAAATAAATAAACAGGTTTCAAGGTATCTTGAGAGGTTAATGGGACCCTAAATAAGAGGTTTAGTAGATTCCAGACCGTTAACAAAATACTTCAAAACTTTGAAATAGAATACTCCAAAGCCAAACACAACATGAAGATTTTAGATAGTCTACCAAAGGGTGGGTAACCAAAGGTAAGAGCAATAGTGGAAAGAAACATAAGGACAATTATACTAGGGAAACTTCTTCGAGTATTACATGCTCAAGACACTAGACAAAAAATTCAAACTCCTTAACCCTACAAACAAATCAATTTGAATAAAGTAAGCCTTTTGCATCCGAGTTTAAAAACCCCTACAAAAAATTATGATAACGATCATATAATATGTTCTAGAGGATGCTAAAAATGAAAGAAAATACCCCACTAAAACAAGAATAACGAATACACAAAGTTTGATAAAGTTAATTAAAAACAAAGTAAATAAAACCCCACTACAAGAGAGTAGAATATCTACAAAGAACATGAAATCCCAGAAAATCCAAGAAGGAAAGAAGTTATCAAGCCACATGGAAAGATCTTAACAATAAGAATAACTCTAACAAAGAGCACACAAATATATCCCATGGCGAAAATGGAAGAAGCTACTATATTACTTTCTTAAGATTATCCTCTCAAAATCGAAGGACATCAGCATATCAAGTTGTCAATGTCAGAACGATTTTTATACAGATTGCTTCCTTTATGATGTAACATGCATTTCCTTTTTTAGATGATTTTAGTTGTGTTTCTTTTGTTCTTTGTCCCTTTGTGTCACAAGAAAAATAAGTGTGGCCAACATGTACATGTGAATGGATTTTAAACTCATTCTTCACGCTATTTTTTGCCGTCTTGGAAATATATCACTTCTATTACTAAGGAACAAACAAAACGTTGGCAGGATTTGATGAAGCTGGTGCTTCTTATAATCGATATTGTTATATATTGCTGTTAAAATAAAACTTATTCCACCCCACGATGCCGATGAATAGTAAAAATATATATCAGAATTTCACCACACATAATATAGCACTTTCAGTTCGTGTTTGTGTCGAAAAACAGATAAAACATTTTCCAAAACATTAAAAGCAGAGGTTTTCTTTGCGTTTTATACCACTCGTTTCCAAGTCGGACAAAAGCAACCAGCGGTAAATTTATTTACACACATATATGTGCTATTTGTATGCAAAATATTCTAAGCAAAGGATTATAGTTCAGAATCTATTTGCCGCAATTTATGTTGACGGACAACAAAATCATACTGTGAACATTCATGGGAGCAAATATGTGCACCTGTACTCAAACTATGTTTCTAAAGCTCCACTTCATTTTCTGAATACAACGAAAGCAAATACACGCCTAATAATTTCAAACTGAAAAACTAAAATCTCCTGTTATTCATATTACAAACAACCTTAGTCATCTTCAACACTGCTGCCTGGTTCCTTATTATCCCCAAGTAGCCCAGTTAGCTTCACTTCCAACACGCGGCATCGTTTGGATCTTTGATTGAGAGTCAACATTGAAGTTTGCCCCACACATAACCCCCTCGCTATCAATTCTTGGCATTGCTTTCATCTTCCTCGTCGGATGTTCAAAGTTCATCAGACCATGTTCACTGTGAAACATACACCCTGCAATTCCAACCCCAATTTCTATTACTTAGAATCAATCAATGCTGCTGACATTACAGAATCCTTCGTTACATAAAGATAAATCACATTTACATACCAGTTGGAAATGGTGCGAATGATTTAGCACAGCCTGCTTTTATAAGGTCCACATTTTCAGAAATCACTATCGAACCATCGGCTGCAACACCCCAGTAGAGCCCAATCTGGCCATCGGAACCCTATTTCAAACACATGGAAGATGTGGGTAAGTCCAAAAAAGTGATGTGATGTTGGAAAGCTATGAAGAGATGAGGGAAAGAGACTTACAGATGCAACAAAAACAGTTCCATTCTTGTGGTCATAGATGAGAAATCCAAAACTGCCTTCGAGTTGACTGAGGACTTGATCAGCAGGGTATGGACCTCTGTCTCGAAGTGTTCGATATGCTTGAATGATGAACATGGCCTCGTTTGTTCCCTTCGATAGCCCATATTGCTTGTTCAGCCTACTAAGGTTGTGCAGCTCACCCATGAAAACGCAGTATATGTCATCCAAACCACTGAAGAATCTGTGATGAGTGGAGTTGCTGTTCGAAGGGGAATAGGCTACCAAAGCATCGTTTCCAAAGCACATTGAAAAAGCATTGGAAGAATTGGAGGACATGAAATCATTCAGGATTTCATTGCTTAGCTTAGGCTTACTGCACCCACTCGTAGAAGCTGGACTCTTCAGCTCCTTCGGTGCATTAACCAACTTCTCCTTGAAAATTCCCAACATTTTACCTTTCTCTGTGAATGAAGTTCCAATGACAGAGCTCTTGATTTGTTTTCCGAATGTAAGAAAAAGTATGAACGGGTGATAGAAGGAGATGAAGAATGAGATGTGGAAGAAAGAGTGGATGATGGTTTGATATATATAGGAAGAGAGGAAGAAGGGTGTGTCATATGAACGTGGCAATCCTATCCGAACGACGAATCGGAGGAAAAGGTAACGTGCAGAATATTATAATAATATGAAAGTGTCATAAAAGTGATTTAAAGGAAACTTATATTAATTACAATAAGATTATGGATGCAGTGATGATCTGGGCCACATTATTCCTTCAATTTTTCCTTTTATTTTATCGATGTTGAAGGTTTATCTTGACAAAGGGATAAATCATAATATTTATGTTAGGTTTAATATATATAATGTCAAATTAGTTCATTCTTTAAAATGTGTATCAATTACGTCTCTATCTAATAAAATTTATATCAATGAAATCTCTTCTATTAAATCTGTATAAACTGCGTTAATTATTTTTCTCTCTCCTCTATTAACGTCGTTTGTACGGATTTAACGGATCATTGATATAAATTTTATTAAGTAATGACGTAATTAACGCACGTCTTAAAAGATGGACTAATTTGACATTGTCGAACGAAACTGGGAACAAAATAGGATATTAAGCCTTTATTTCAATAAATATTCATAAGACATTTGAGGACGACATATGAAGGTAAGGTAAGTCGTGTTTATAACTTTAAAACCAGTTTCGTAACATCTTCCATTAATACATGTTGGTATGATATCAAATTTAAGATTTAAATTTTAAATATAAATCTAGATCATAAAAATACAATGATATATTTTTATTTTATAAACATTTTTTTTATCAATTTATGACTTTAGGATTTAAAATATAAGGTTGAGTGTTGGTTTTATGAGATTCTTTCTTTGAGACAAAAAGTTGTATAAAGATATTAAAAATTATTTGACACAACAAAATTTAGAAATAAAATAAGTTAAAATCACATTATACTTATATAATCATTTTTTTTAATTTTTACATAATTATATATATAAAGATTAAGTGAAAACTAATAAAAAATAATAATTCATATAATTATATATTTAAATAAATTATCTCTTATATGTCTTTCTTTCGTTTTTATTGTAATATATATTTAAGTATTATTACAGTTTCATTCTAATTATGATTAATTTCCTCTATTCATAACTGTTAAATTAAAGGTCTAATTGAAAATTCTGTCTTGATATCTGAAAGGGACATAAACTTTTATTGAAAAATAACATTTGGAAAAAGTATAACGAGTAATTTAACTATAAAGTGGATTTGATTGAAACATGATATTCCAGAAATGAGAAAAAAGAAATTTGTTAGTTGGAATAGTTGGGAGTGTTAATGGTTTTGGGAATCCAATTGCAACAAAAGAGCATACAAAACAAAAGTCTTATCCACATTGTTTTACCAAATCCTATGATATGACAGTGATCTGACTCAGCTGATTCCACGTCAGCTCTTGTTCTCCACATATTCAAATATTTCTTTTATTGCTTCAACAACCACAATTATTAATTCATTATTCTTGTCAGAGTACTATTTACTGCTTTATCTTTCTGTTACAAATTTAAATACCCATTTTTAAATATTATTTTTATTTGTATTTAAATTCGTCAAAATATTGGTGCCTTATTTTAAATTTTAACACTTTCTACTGTATTGAAAAATAATATTTAACAAAATATTAAATTT